ATTGTGGGTAGGGGACCTAGACGACCCTGATGCGTGACAGCACAATTCATTGCTCCTCCATCCCTCTTTTTAATGACTGATTCCATTTCAATGCTATCTTTACAACCGGTCTGACATTTTATCTCATAGCATTCTTCATGCTTCTAAATTTTGCGAATGTAATAAAGGTAAAAACTAGATGGTCGCGAACATTTTTTCTAAACGAGGAGAGTGGATAGTCATTATAGTCTGTGTTGGATTGGAATTGACTCTATATTGAAAACATGCTGGAACCATTATTCATGGTCATTTTAATCGTTTTATCTTGACCAGGTACTGATTTTTCTGTAGGTTATCAGTAATAGGTCAATTCAATGCATTTCAATTTCTAAACGTATATTTTTGGTTTCACAATGACTATTTTTGATTGAGGCCTTCAATTTGTTTTTAGCTCCTACGTCTTTCTAGCCATAAGTCTATTTTGATATGCTTGATCGAATCCAAGACTAGGTTGAGTTATTTTGATTAGTTGCATGCCCAAGAGCCATTGTTGATGTTTTCAAAATGACCGCTTTGAAAGCCAGATAAATCGAAATTAGACCGATTTATTTTAGATATGAACAGTCCTAGGGGACGTCATTTTGTGGTTACAGACCATGCAATTTGTTCAGCCAACCTCAACTTATTACGATTTGAAACGGAACTGTGATTTTGATGAATACCGTTTATAGTCCCAAAACTCGCTGTCTTGTTGAAACTTAATACCTAACTGTTAATGCAAGGCTGTTGGCTTTCAATATTTGAAGAACAAAATTCATATTGCAGGTGTTGCAATCTTAGGTAGATTTACAATACCTTGAAATATGCCGGTATTGAGCTGTTTTTGCGTTAGCTGAATGTTTTTGTTTTTGGTTTGCGAGCTGCAGAGTTTGAAGGTTGTTCAAATTATTCATACGTCACAATTTAACTGTTGACATAGAGAGTGGTCACTGGAAACTAGGGTCGTTAAAAGTTTCAGTGTTTAAAGTTTCAGATTGGATTACTGTCGTAGTTAATCCGGTGACGGATAGTTGAAACTCTGCAAAATCATGATTGGAGAATTTTTTGTTATTTTTGCCAGCTGTTTTTGTAGCCTATAAAGCTTGAGCATCGTCCAGTTTGAGGAATCGATATTAATCTGATTGTTTGAACCTGTTATAAAAAAAATTGTTTGGGTAGTACGTCGAAATTTTGGTTAGGTTTTGCTCTGACTACTAATATTATGAGAGAATCTGTTCTTAAATATTTCGATTTTTTTTTGTTTAAAAAACTATCTAATTTCTTTAATGGGCAGCAGCAGACATTTAATAACTTTTAAAAAACAATTAAATTTTGAAATTAGTTTTTCGCCCATTATATCATTATATACTTAGGAAAATGCTCAAAAATAAGGAAAAATATTGTTTATAAAATTAACCGATTTAGCCTGATTCACCTAAAATGCCTGAAAAAGCTTGCCTTATGACCTTATGAAAGCCAAATTATGCAAGAACTTTTAAAAATTTTTAAGAATCAAAACTGGCGTTTTCGTGCCAACCTCAGACGTTTCTTTAATTCAAAATCACAACGAGTTTCAATAGTAGGAAGGTTACAAATGTACAGATAACTGAGTGAAGTATGATCAAATGGACTTCAAAAGCCTTTATCTCATAAAAGTTTGTCTGGATACTTTTACTCAAAGCGGAATAAAGTTGACTCAAGACTTCGTGGATCAAGTTAATATCCTCTCCCCTTAATAGACCAAGTTAAGATCCTCCACCCCAGCTCTGAATTAAATTAAATTTGTTAAGCGCTGCATGTAAAATGTTTTTAGGGGGGAGGATGTTAACTTGGTCCGACTTCATTTATTTAAATGACGCGCATGAGATATGAATCGGCCGAGGAAAAAAATCAGTTACTGAATAGTCATGCAACATAAAAGTAATATTATGCACAAACATGGCGTGATTTTTGACCGACTTAAATACGCCCATTTTCGTCTCGTCTACACCAGCTGGTTTCTACACATCTTTTGCCTTTATGGAAATCGAGAAAAATCTTCCTAATTATTATCTCAGTTTTTATATACATTTCAACTTGTGAAACGTCGACTGTGCTTAACTGTGACGCCTTACTTGTATCAAAAGTATGTAGGCGGATAAATTGCCGCGGATAAATAATTCGCGTATTGAAACTATCAAAGTGAATTGGTCTAAATTAAAAAAAAAACGCCACAGACATTTATATTGGTCTGAATTAAAAAACAACAACCAACACAGGCATTTATATTCCTCGCTTTCTTCGACAATAAAAGTTATGCTCATCTAAAAAAAAGTTATATCATCTAAGTCAAATCAGCAAACTTTAAAATTGTAAACCGCGTAGTTCTACAAAATTGAAAGCAAATGAAACCAAAAAAAGCACAGCATTTTGACTCCACACTCGATTCATTTGGCAGCGATCTGGAGTCCAAATGATTTTTTGTGGAATTCTGCTGCAATTACGAGCCTGCAATTAAATGTATTTTAAAAAAAGAAACCATGTATTTGTACATTTAGGAGCCGAGCGAGCCCACTTTTGTGCTCTGCTATAAAACCGAGCTTGGCATCATAATGAGCTGGGTCTGCTTTGATTTATTCTTTTTATGAATCCGTAACCAAAATGATATTCTGGTCTGAAAATGTAGTAAATCTGATTAAGCCGTAAATCCGTAAGCGAGGCACATGCAAATCGGAGACAATATGGAACCAAACATAGTGAGTCGCGTGTTGAATAATGCAGTGGTTTAAAATGCGAACAAGACTGCTCGTATCAGGGCGAAACCCTGAATGTTCCGACTGCCTTTTAAGGTCTATGAAGCAGAAATAAGATGAAAAAATTAAATATAAAAAAAGAAAAAAAATTGAAAAAAAAAGTTTGGGCACACGCCATATAAAGTACAAAGTGATAAATTTAGCTTCTAGTAACAGATCAATAAGCTTCTTTCAACCAATTTGGAACGATTTCTAAGACGGATTAAATCTATGCTTACGCGTTAATAGCGCGAAATATATCGCGCGTTAATTGTCCCAAATTGGCCAAAATGCTAATCTTTAAACCCCCATAACTTTACAAAAATGGATCACAGGTGAAATATCTTTTCAAATTTAAGCTCAGGGCAACAATACCTTTTGAATGATATAAAAAAATTCTGTCAAAAGTGGCTAGTTAAAAAGTCGATATTTGTCTGAAGAAAAAAAAGCCCACCCCGAGCACGAATATTCCGTTACTTTCGTATCAAAAGTCGGAACAATAACACTTGGTTTAATTGATGAGTCGTCATGGTAGTTCAAGAGGATATGATTTGAAACTGCTCCAAATGTTTTTTTTGCTAACTTTTAGATCTACTTTTTTAAAATTGAGCCAAAAACTAATTCAGAAGTTGATCTACCATCTAGTGTGCAAATGTCACGGAAGTTTCCTCCGATTGTGAACAAACCCGTCAAAAAGTTACATCATATGATTGAAGTTGGCATGAATATCTTAACTGTTACATAATTATTACGTGACTAATATAAAACAATTACATTTTATCGGCTGGTTAAAATGATAGCTCGTTTATACTTCGGCTGGTGTATATGACACCGTTGCATCCACTGTTACATAAGTTGGAGCATGTTTCCTGTTAAAAGGAATGTATGGGCTGAAAATATATATAGACTTGGTTTTTAGCAGTTTCGGCGAATTCAAAAACACAGTTTTTTGAAGTCAACGCTGACAGTTGCTCATTTTATAAGTCCATCGAAATGCATTTGGAGGGGCTTTGATCTCATATGTAACTGGATTCTCTGTAACATATTCTTAGTGCGTTTTATAGCCGCTAGTAGGGTTTTCAACCTGAGTATTGTCCCTGAATTGTAAACAAAATATTTGGCTCAATTTTATAGCTTTCTTCCTCCGAACTTTCCAGTGTTGCTCCGGAATATTGACAACCTACTAACAGTATAAGTGTATTTCAGGTTTCCTGTCAGGTTGAACATGTGAGCTAAAAAGTATTGATTGTAGCCATTTTTTGTTCTGACCACTTTTTGTATTAGGGAGTATTTTAAATTTTTTTTCTTCTTTAAAGAGTGGAATGATATAGCATATTAAAGCCCTCACAGTCGTGATTCGAACGAGATCTAAAAATTTCAAATGCATTTTCCCAGTTTTGAGAAAAACCGTTTTGAAATTTTTGGTTTTTTGTCTTAATTCGAGCGAATAAAGCGAGGGAACAGGCTTACAACAGCTTATTTTATTGGCTTAGAAGCTCACAATAGCCTAATTTAAAATGTAAATACTTAGTTTTCTGAATAAAGTTAGTTTTTTGAGTATTTTCGTGCCTCCTTGGTATGAAAAATTTGAAAAATACAAGAAATATATTCTAAAAAAATTTAAAAATTTGTTTTCTGATTTTTTTGTTCTAGTTATTATTCACCAGTTATTGTCTTACTTTTTTTTACTATGACAGTCGAATATGCCTAATCGATAACTCTTCGTTCAGTTTTTTTTTATCACACCACGCCGAAAGAAAATACGACACTATTTTGAAAAAAACGGAAAATTCTGCTACTTTTACATTACCCAGCTATCCTTGTTATAATATTTGTAATATTACAGCCATTTCAAGCCTTGGTTCGGTTGATATTTGAAACCTTCGAAAACATTCTCAGTATCAAGAAAAATTGCTCCGGCAAGTTATATATATGTGTTTTCGAAGGTTTCAAATATCAAACGAACCAAGGCTTGAAATGGCTGTAATATTATAAATCTCTTAACACCCACTGACCTATTTGTGGTACCTGATTTTACGCAGAAAAAAAAACATGAAGCCTTAGTTGCTTTCCATTTCGTGATCGGAATGAAAAACTTCGATGTTGTTGGATGAATAATAATCACATAAGTGTTCGCAATTAATTCTGAGAAGACCTTCAATCTCCTCATTTTGTCAATTGTGTCTGGGTTAATACCTGATCTTGTTTCAGGTTCTGGAAAGGAGACATTGCTTCGACACTTTGGTCTAACACTGTAAGTTTTCAAGGTGATCAGTTCAACTTCGAATTCGAGTTGAACAGTATCTAAACAATATAGTTTGAAGTTTTAGCTTTAATTAGCTTGAAAGAATTCATTTTTTAAATGTAAAAGTAAAAGTTCTTAATGAAAACCTACTATCATTCAAAATGTTTTAATTTCAGATTGCACGAGAGCAGATCCACTTTAGCCGATGCCATCAGACTGATTGTGCCAGATGTGCTGACCTTAGTGGCGTCCATATCCAGTCTGAGTTTCTGCAAGAGGTACCAGATGCCGAAGAGGAGAAACAACAGCCACCTCCCAAACCCACACCCCATTCCACACACAGTCAGTCAGTCTTTCCAGGTAGGGCTTCTACTGTTATCATTCTCAATGATAGTTTCGTTTTTAAAGCTATACCCGATGTTTGAAGCTAGTGGGGGTGGTGATGTTCAAGTATCTTTAAATTTTAATTGCGTTGTTAAGAATCCTGAGTTCTCTCGTCGAGTCTCGCACACGTTTGCCACAACTATGGGCCAGTTGAACCTCTAACGATTGGCAAATACTTTTTGTTCCAGCCTTTTCACGAAGCTCAACGAACTATAGCATAGGACAGAAAGTTTATTAATCAAAAAAAAAATTTCAAATGTTATTGTGTTGCTGCAGGACACGTTCCACTACTTTTCCATCAACCTGTCTCTATGTGTGGCTGGAATTTGCTACCCCTCCCTCCCCTCGGGACTCTACTTCCTCCTTTTCGTCTTCTTCACCACTTGGTGGTCTGCAAAACAGGAAGTGGGGTCCTGGTTCGCCTACGTCACTCTTCTCTTGCTGGCTGTGTGTGGCTGTCACATAGTCTTGCTCTACACGTTTCAGATGCAATTCCTAGAACACTTCGCTAATCCAGCTGAACTCTTTTCAAGGTTTGAACAGTTATTGATCAATTAACTGCATAAAATTTTGACAAGGGCAAACGCTGGTGTTTTTTGCGGTCGCCTCCACTTTAGAATTCAAACAGAATGTTAATTGGTTCTTTACTTGAACTTCGGATGCATAATTGACAGAAGTCTAGCATTTATGCAGCAATTACTAAAAGAAAAACAATTCGATAAACACGAGCCGGATAAAAGTATTCTCTTGGAGCAAAAAAATGCACAAAAAGGTCACGGGTGATAGTAGTTTGTGATACATGCAGAACGAGAAAGATATGAGAATTTGCAAACATTTTTGTAAATTTTAACCAAACACTTTAACAAAAACTTTGTCTGCTTTTAGACTGTTCGGCTTGGCGGCCGTGGTGCGGACTGACTGCAGAAGACCCTACTCTCTGGCTCTGTACGACAGAGTAGACTGGACCCATATAGCAAACCCACTGTGTCTCTACTTCTGCTATTCTGTCCTCGCAGTCAGGTCTCGATACTGGTTCTTCAGGGTCAGTAGTGCACTCATTTGAAATATTAAATTAATACTAGTAATTTAGCATGTATTATATCGAACTTCGAAATTAATTTAATCACATACTAAATCTAAGACATAGATCACGAAAATTTTAGAAACAAACGAAATCTGGATTATTTTTTTGCTAAAAGAGTGATTGTAACTTTTGCGAAGGTAAACGGCTGCAAAACATTCGATTTTTACACCGACATATGTCTGGTTGTTCCGACCACTGAAAGCGGGGAGGAAATTTGTCTTCGGGCTGGTTTTAAAATTTTTTCTCGACAAAACAACAGACTTTTGTCGTTTGAATTTTTTGCATTTTTGTCCAATTTCGAGCGAGTAGGTCTTATAATAGGCATATAGTAGTCTGAATCTTAAATTAGGCTGTAAAAATTTAGTTTACTCCAGTAAAATTAGTTTTCGAAATTTGTTTTTGCGCTTTCTTCAGAAATTTTATTTTTTCAAAAAAAAAATCAAATCTACAAAAAATCATAAAAAACTTGTTTGAACTTTTAAAATGTTTTTATTTTTCAACTCTTTTTTCTTCAGATTCTCACCACAGCAAACAAATTTGAAAACAAAGAAAGAAATGGTTTTTTTTAAAGTTCATGCAATTGAAAATCAGGTACCACAAATAATCATCGGAATCGGTTGTGTGATATATCATAACAAAGCCCTTTCAGCAGTCGTGATTCGATCGACATCAAAACTTTTTCCCAGTGTTTAGAAAACTGGTTTTAAATTTTTGAGCTTTGGTTCAATTTCGAGCAAGTGAAATTAGTTATTGAAAAGTTTTAGTGTCATTTTCGGAATAAAAACACTTCAAACAACCTAAAAACTGCAAAAAAAAAAGAAAATATTTAAGAATCTTTAAATTTTTATTGATTTTTTTAATATATATTTTTTTGTTTTTCCAGTAATTTTCGATAAAAACTTTCCAATGTGCTTTTTTTTCAAGAATATGGTCGGAAATTGCACAGCACCGGCTATACTTGTTGTTTTTTGTTTTAGTCTAAACTACAGGAGAGAATGATGGCTCAAATTGAAAAATTGGCTGCTGAAGAATTAGAGAAAACTGCCAGACTTCGGTCGAACGTTGTGGTAAGTTAAAACCGTTGAGGAACACTTGCTGGCTGTGTTTCTGTCTGTTTTCAATTACATAGTGCACTAATATACGCTATATTCGTTTAAAAAGATATCAAATTGATTTTCGCTTGATTTGAAACGAAACTAAACTGAACCAGCTTTCATTTAGACAGTTGACAAGTGCTCTTTTTTTTATTTGTCCGGTATTATTTGATAACTTTAATCCGTTTTGGACAAATTTAGAGAGCGCGACCCGGTAGATCCGGAGCAAATAATTTCACAGCCGTTTCTGCCGTCGATTCCGATGATGACGCTTTAAAGATGTCTTTGACCTTGAATCATTCTGTCGGCGTGAGCGCCAACAACGTGGCGACTATATCTGACTCGGTTCCCCATATCCACGATTCGAGTACATTTCCAAACAATATCTTACCGCACTCAATTGACATTCCGCTGACGTCGGTGAAAACGGACCCCACGGAGGTACCGGGGTCTCCAGTTAGAGGAGATAGGGCAACAGAAATGGGATCATCAACTGCCAATCTTTCCAAATCAGGAACGATTCTGTACCCCAACTTAAGTCGCAAGGTATAATCGCATCTGATGTTCTATACCAATGTTTTTTCCCGTTTTTTTGAAAATCTAGACCTCTTTTGTTCAACTTGACCGAATTGACTTTCCGAGCTCTCCATAAACACTAGAAAGACCTTCTTTTGCTGAAATTTTTATTATTTGCTAAGCATATTTCTGTATTGTGACGCCATTAAGAATTGCAGTAAATGGAAACATATGGAAGCGCTTTTTTAATAAAGCCGGTTTTTTGAAAACAGGTTGTGGTTGCAATGTTTAGTTGGTAGATTAACTTTTATCAAATTATTTATTATTTTATTAGTTTATTTAAATACTAGTTGAGACCCTCTTGTTTCAGCCTTCATCTCACGCGTTGGGTGCTCTATCGTTACACTTAATCAAAAAGTCTTCGGGTCTGTCTCCCTTCAATGCACCAGGCACCCCCTCGGCCGAACAAGGGGGGCGTGTGCGGAGACAAAATGAACACGACGGAGAAGTGATGGGGAGGGGGAGGGGAAGGGGCAAGAATGTGTGGCTGCAGAGGGCGGGCCTGTACAATCTGGTGTTGAAAATGTTTCAGTTTCTGGTAAAAAGGAGCTGCACGTGCGCACCCATGATTATGATGGTCAGTAATCAACTTTATGACCATAACTTTATACATAACGTATTCATTTTTATTGCATCTTTTTTAATAATTTTTCATAACACTTTTAGAAAAACTGATAATTCAACTAAAAAGGAAGAACGCTTTTTAATTTGGATGATTTCTCGCGCAAAATTGAGTCCCGGTTGTAAACATTCGAGTAGCATCATGCTAAAGCCCACTTAGTAACCTGATCGAAAAATCAGATTTTTTCTTTAAAAATCTATGTTAAGTATCCCTAGTAGTCCTCCTCTTCGAAATAATCTATTATTTGTGGTGTTTCGACATTCTTGTGGCGGCTTGTACAGGGTTAGCGGGCGCGATAGCCAAGGCTTAGCAATTCAATCAGCGGAAGTGTATTTCAATCAACGTTTGAGGATCAGACCATGACACGGCTCTATCCCCCCCCCCCACCTGGAATGATCATCAGTTTTATGGTTTAATTAATGTTTTTACAAGGCTAGGTATGAAAAACAAAAAATAGGTTTATCATGGCTTAGTGAGTCCGCATGTCATAACAATAGGGTGACGCAAAAAAAACTTTACTTGTAAGAATTCGCAAGTGGGTATACAGGAAAAGAGCCCATTGCACTTTCGATGGAAATCTTGGTAACACTCAAGTACTTGATAAGTATGACTCCACACAATGGCGGATCTAGGATTTTCTCGAGGGGGGGAAACATGCCAATGGAGGCAACTTTAGGCTTTTTTCGAAAATTTTGACCAACAAATTGCGTTTTTTCGGCGCGTGCTCCACGCTCAAAATTAGTATATTTTGGCGTCCACCCCCCACCCCCCTATATATCCGCCCCTGACTTCCCAAAATTAATTTTTTTCTGTTTTTTTTTGTTAAATTAGATTTCAAAAATTGTCAATATCGTCTACTATTCCCTCAGAAGCTACTCCTCTCGCACATTTGAAATAATATGAATTTCAAAAATTTGTCAATTACCCGAGAAGTCGTTAAGTGATTTATATTAAAGCGATTAGCGGCTTAGCAGTTTGTATTAGCACAGTAAAAACCCAGGCTCAGGATAATTAATTTCTTCTGATTCTGGTCGGTGATCAACACAAAGCGTTTTCGTGGAATTTGGATTCAATTGCTCGAGCTCAAAACATGTTTTTTGAAGTTGAGTTTGTTATTCCGGCTTTCGAAGAAAGTAAAGAGTAAATATGCTCGTGGTGTTTTTTTATTCAGACCAATTTAACGATTGCGATTAGCATGCGTTATCAAATTGGAACATAGATTTTTTTGTCGGGTTAAAAACTTGCTTAACAGTATCGCTTGAATCGCTTGGTATCTTGGCTCATAATGTTATATTATTATTGTGTTATTTTTAGTCTTATTTTGTTTTGTCGGCTTAGATGCAACATTAAGATTTTTTTTGCTGTATGTACCTTTCATTGTAGTTGTTTTTTTTTTGTTTTCATTTATTTCTGCAGTTGTTAATTCTACTAACCTTGGCTTCGTATATCGTTTTTCTGTTTTTTTTTGTTTAAAAAAATATATGGCCTTTATGATATCGGCTAATAATTTATCGGCTTACTAACCTAATTTTGAGTCGTTTTGAAAAAAAAACATAATTTTTTATGCTTTCTTCCGGATTGCACAAAACTTTAAAAATCGCTTAATAGAATTTATAATTCAAAGTTTTTTTTGACAACAACTTTATTTTCGCTTCATTGCTCGACAATTATTTTTGAAATTTCATTAAACGCCGTCGAATGTGTTTCCAGAGAACCATAAATTGTGTGTTTTCCTCCGGATCGCACAAAATCAGAATAGATTTTTTACTTGAAAGATTTTTGTGACAACAATTTTATTTTCGCTCGATAATCGTTTTTGATTTTTCCTTGAACGCCGTCAAATGTGTTTCTGGACGTGTTTTTCGGAAATAGAACATCCTTCCAGACAACATTTTGAAGTTTTTCAGTTGTGGTTTTTTCGAAATGTTTCCGATTTCGTTGGACTTAATGGGTCTCTTTTGCTTTCCTGTCTGCTAGCTTGCATTGCTTTTTTGTGGTAGCGCAAGTGAATCGAAGCCCCGCTTCGCCTCTGTGTCCAAAAAATTATTCGCTAGCACGGAGGATTGCTCCAAGGCTCTGCGAGAATACCGCCGGTTGCGCACAGTGCTCTAATAACTTGACACGAACTCAATCAAAGTGCTCGTTCTACACATTGATGCTTGAAGTGTAACGCGGGTTATTTGACTCACCATTAGATCGTTTCGAAATTGAATTGAGGGAAATTTATTGGTCTTAGTCATTCAATGCACGAATCAAATGTTTGTTAACGCTTGAAAACTGATTGGCAAAAACAACTGATGTTATTGCTTTTTTCTTTTGAATTTATTTCGCGCAGTCTGTCCTTCGCGCCCGAGAAAATCTTTTAACACTTAAACAAGACCAGTTGAAGAACAGTCGGAACACTCAGGGCTTTGCCTTGATACAGGCAGTCTTGTTCCCATTTGCGCCTAAAGGTTTCACTCATGTTGTAATAACCTTAAATTACCTATAATTACCGGTAAAAATTAATTCATCGTAAATAACTTCGAGCAGTGAAGAGTACTCCCAAATTCATGCCAAGTAACTTCAAAATAAATAGAGTACTCCATAGACCTTCAAAAGGCAGTCGGAACATTCGATGCTTCGCCCTAAAACGAGCAGTTCTGTTGTTTTCTATCTTTTTTTTCTTTTCAGATAGCATGAGCTGCATAATCGCTGAGTTGAAGGACTAGTATTAAAAAAGCCCGGAAAGAAAATCAAAAATCTTTTTAAACTATCATGATTCTAAGGACTCACATCTTAAAACAATCCATCTTTTTTATCCATTGAACCACTGTTGCTGGAGCTTTCACCCGTTGCTCTAGAAATCAAGCAGCATTGACTGCTCCATTTTTAGGAGCTCTTTTTTGTTGTGATTTACTACTTATTTTCGCTACTTCTAAATGAACACTGGTTAATATAATTCATTTTTATAACTAAATGAGTATTTATTACCTAAATAAGGTTTTGTTCCGACTTTCGAGGAAAGTGATGTGATGTGTTTTATTACTAAGTATTTAACTGATCTTCGGTATTGATTAGACACCAGTCCCAGTCTGTTTCAAGTTGAGCATCGACCTTTGGTCGACTAGCGTCATTGTTCAGAATTGTCTGAGACGAGACATTTTAATTCAACACAATTTCTTATTTGATTTCCTGTTTTAGCTTAAAGGTCATATGGTAGAACGGGAAAACTTTTGTTGGTGCAAAGCCGTTATGGCTAAAAGCATTCAAGATACACTATTTATGCTGCTATTTTAATATGCAAATCATATCAAAGTTGTTAAATTAAATGTTTATATCTTACCTAAACTCAAATTGAGTCATTAAAAATCGAAAACCATTCGAGAATTTAAAAATTTCATGGGAGATTTTTGAAGTTTCAATTTCAAAAACCTTATATATTAAAAAAATGACACGTTTTCAGCCTAAGGCCTAATGTTTACGGTGCTATCGAGCGCAACATTTAAAAAGGCTTAGATCAGTGCTTAAAGAATCACTCAGAGCATCACTCAGAGCGAGATGAACTCGATTCAACTTTCAGGCTAGCCAGTACCTGCCCTATTTTTGTCCAATTGCGAACAGGGAATTTTGTCCAATTCCCTGTTCGCATTTACAGATTCATTTCAGTCTGAAACGAATCACTTAAAAACAGCAACTTCTATGCTAAGAGAGAAACTTTTTGCAAACCTCTTCGGTCTATGAAATAAATGGAAATGTTTCAACGTTTCATAGCTTCAAAAACATGCTTAGAAAAACTGAAACTTTTTGCGAACCGATTTAGTCTATGAAATAACTTGAAATAATTACAACGTTTCATAGCTTTTGCAGCTTGCTCACAAAAATTAAAAACTTTCGCAAACCAATTCAGTCTATGAAATAACTTGAAATTATTTAAAGTTTTATAGCTTGATGAAAAGCATAACTGAATTAGAAAAAAATAACCGCTTCGCGAACGATTCAGTCTATGAAAAACATAGCCTAAAAAGCTTGCTTAGAAAAACTTAAATTTTTGCGAACCGATTCGATTTACAAAACAACTTCAAATAGTTTGAAGTTTCTTTACTTTGAACCTTGCTTAGAAAACTTGAAATTTTGGCGAACCGATTCGATCTATCAAACAGCTTGAAAAATTTCAATGTTTCATAGCTTTAAAAACTTGCTTAGAAAAACAACTTTTTCGCAAACGTTTCAGTCTATCAAATACCATGAACTATTTCGAAGTTTCATGGCTTGAAAAGCGTGCTTAGAAAAACTTAAGTTTTATGCAAAACGATTCAGTCTATAAAATAAATTGTAACAATACAAAATGTCATAGCTTTGAAAGCGTGCTTAGAAGAACTTAAACTTTTTAAAAACCGATTCGGTCTACGAAATAACTTGAAAGAATTCAAGTGTTATTAGCTTTATTAGCTTGCCTAGAAAAATTTACACTTTTCGCAAACCGAGTCAGTCCATTAATTTACTCGGAATCTGATTTTTTGTTTCGCATTTTTCAAAGTTTCGAACAGCTTCAAAATTTCGAATAGCTTGCTTAAATAAGTTTTTCAAGAACTGATTTGTTTCAATAAATATCTGGAGTTATGTCAAAATTTTATAGCTTTAAAAGCTTGCTCAGAAAAACCACTTTTTTGCAAACGATTCAGTCCATGAAAAAAACATGAAATTATTCAAAGTTTCTTGGCTTTAAAAACTTGCTCCGAAAACTTCCACTTTTTGCAAAACGATTCAGTCTATAAAATAGCTTGCATTAATACGAAATGTCATAGCTTTAAAATCGTGCTTAAAAAAATTGATTTTTTTGCGAACCGAAAACTCTTAAGCTTTTTGCGTACTGATTCGGTTACTAAGAAAAATTTCAATAAAAAATTTCATTTTTTTGCCAAGTTTGCCTAGAAAAACCTAACTTTTGCTGATTGATTTGCTCTATGAAACAACGTGAAATATTTAAATATTTCATTGCTTGAATAGCTTTATATGAAAAGCTTAAGTTGAGTCATCCCATTTGCTTTATGAAACATTTTGAAATATATCAAAGTTTCATAGCTTGAACAGCTTGTTTAGAAAAACTTCAGCTTTTCGGGAACAAATTCGTTCTATGAAACTTGAAATTTTTCAAAGCGATTTACGATATGGCCTAACCTGAAATTGTTCAAAATTTTTTTTGCTTGGATAGCTTGATCAGAACACTAACTAATTTTTTGCGAGCCAATCGATTGTTGCAGGCGGGCTTGCTAGTAATGATTGAAACGATTAAAGCATTGAAACATTTTGAAAGTGCAGTTAGAGCATCAAAGATTTCGCCCTGATACGCGCAGTGTTGATGTGTTTATTTTAAGTTCTCAGTTGATATTCTTTAACGTATCACCTGAAAACTTCTGTAACTGCTAGAGAATATAAAAAGTGTTACCCCGTAGGCAAACAGTTTGAACTTGAAAAATTAAAACAACTTTGTTCACTCAAACTTTAAAACAGTCTTGACTATGAAAACAAAGAAACTCGGAGAACCTTTGTCTCATATCGAAGAGGTCATGCTGGTTTACTATTCATGTCGATGTAGAAAATCATGCTAACGGGGCGAACTTGAGAAAAATTTTTAATCTCCATGGATAGCATAACATGGATCAGTTTCAAAGCTCCTCCTTTTACGGTTTCCGATCAAACGGGTTGTATTAAAATTGGTTGTTCGATTGAATACGCTGTATTCACTACTTCAAATTGAATTTCATTGATCTGATTAGATTCAAAGTCAACATAGTCAAAATAATTTTTGTTTATTTTGACTACGTATCGGTTGAGTTTTTAGAGAAATTACTGCTAAGAATTGCAGTTAAAAAACTGGAAAGCTACAAAACTTTCAATATACAAGCTCTGGACTGGGCATCTGGAAAGCTCTTTCCTTCCCCTCAGGGATTCGAGCCCCTGACAACCCAAAAGGTCGGAAACCCTTTGGTTTTAATTTAAGGCATCCATTTTAAAGACATCCATGAAAATAGAGCGTAGAAAAAACGCAATTTTTTGGTCAAAACTTTTCAAAAAGCGAATAAAAAAGCTTTTTTGTTCTTTTTTTTTTTAATTTTGGCTCCAGTGGAGAAAATTTGGTCAAAATAGGGTCTTTATAGTGATCTGGGGAGCTCGGATAATCAATTTGATTGACCAAGCAAAAATCAACAAAATTTTCGATTTTTTTTAACATCCTCTTCAACCCCCTCGAAAAAATCCTGGTTCATTTGGCTGTAAAATAGTGGAAAATACTAATTTAACCTTAATTTATGGGGGGGGGGGGGGGGGCTGAAATCCTTATATTTATGATGAAGCGTTGATGCATGGGAGGTTGATCTAACAACTCTCTTAGAAATAAGTTTATATGTCTAGCTTTGTCTACGTCCCTTGCTGTTCTCCTACGATCGTCACGCTTGATATTCCTAAAATAAAAATTACTTTATTGATTAAAATTTGTCTGAATTGTTGGTAATCAGACTTCAATTGAACTAAGCGCCCTAATTTAAAATTGAGTCTTTGCACAATTGAGCTTGCGAGCGTAGTGTTAAGCGGTCAGTCCGTTTTTGCCGAAATAAAAGTTTTAATGGACTTTTCTTAACCTGGGAACTTTTTCATGAAGTTTAAGGGGTTGCCAATATTTTGCTAAATACTGAACAAAACTATGCGCAATTTTATGTTTTTGTTTATGATGCTCAGCGCGTAAGCCCGAATGATGAGCGCTGAGACTTAGTTCAAAATGCAACTCAGATAAGCAATCCAAGTGCTCATTGTATCAGATGGAATCCCTCATAGGCGAAGAACCGAATGGGCAAAAATAAAAAAAATCAATCAATCAAATATCAGTATTTCCAAATTTGGAAAGAAAATGTGAAAATCTCTAAGAGAGTAAATCTTTCTAGAGACTTAATATTAAAATTGGCCGAAAAAAAACGCAGAAAAATGCCAAGTTTTCACTTTGTCACTGACAAATTGGGACAAATTTTATATGAAGGGCTTCCTTATAAAAATAGTAAAATTTTGCTTCGATTAATATCTTTTAGTTGAACGGCAATTGACTCGTTTCAATCATTGACTTTCAACAGTTTTTTTCCGGTCCTTCGCCGATGATTTGTTCGCCCATTCGGTCCTTCGCCCTTTGTTGCACACTTTTGTTCCGACTTTCGAAAAAGCGGCAGATTATTTGTAGTACGGGTGGTTTCTTTTCTGTACATAATTTCTTCTAAGCTTACATTTTTTGACAGTTTTCATTATATCTTTTGAAAGGTATTGTTGTCTTGAGCTCAAATTTAATCAGATATTTTACCTGAGATAATTTTTTGTAATGTTATGGGGGTTTAAAGGCGGCCAATTCAGCCAATTTGGGACAATTAAATCGCGATAAATTTCGTGCTAGTAACTTGCGAGCTGAAATTTAATCTGTCTTAGATATAATGTCAAAATGGATTGAGGTATTCTATTTGGTCTATTCAATACTTTGCTATATGCAAATTATTGTTCCGACTTCGATACGAAAGTAACGGAATATTTGTGCTCGGGTGGGTTTTTTTTTCTTCAGACAAATTTCGACTTTTTAACTAGCCTTTTTTGACAAAAATTTTTACATCATTCGAAAGGTATTGTTGTCTTAAGCTCAAATTTAATCAGATATTTTACCTGAGATAATTTTTTGTAATGTTATGGGGGTTTAAAGGCGGCCAATTCAGCCAATTTGGGACAATTAAATCGCGATAAATTTCGTGCTAGTAACTTGCAAGCTGAAATTTAATCTGTCTTAGATATAATGTCAAAATGATTGAGGTATTTTATTTGGTCTATTCAATACTTTGCTATATGCGAATTATTGTTCCGACTTCGATACGAAAGTAACGGAATATTTGTGCTCGGGTGGGTTTTTTTTTCTTCAGACAAATTTCGACTTTTTAACTAGCCATTTTTGACAAAAATTTTTACATCATTCGAAAGGTATTGTTGTCTTAAGCTCAAATTTAATCAGATATTTTACCTGAGATAATTTTTTGTCATGTTATGGGGCGCTATTAACGCGTAAGCGGAGAGTTAATCCCTCTTAGAAATCGTTCCAAATTGGTTTACAGAAGCTTATTTGCCATAATTGATTTGTTACAAGGAGCGAATTCTATCCTTTTGTAATTTATATGGCGTGTGGGGTGATGAATTTGAATAAAAAATTTCAAATTTAAGAATTTTTTTTTTTTCATTTTGTTTTATTTCATTTAATTTTTTTAATTTTATTACTGCTTCATATACCTTAAAAGGCAGTCGGAACATTCAGGGCTTTGCCCTGATACGAGCAGTCTTGTATCATTTTGTACTTACAAAATAGAGTAATTGAAACTACTCCATAGAAATTAAAATACAGTCGGAACATTCAGGGCTTCACTTGTCTTTATCTACAATGCGGCACATAAGCTTCGAAAGTGTTTGCAACCGCCCAAATAATCATTTTAAAATAAATTGCGGTAAAATTAATGGGTCTCAAAAATTCACTACTACACTCAAAATTATATTTTGCCATAATTATTACGGTTTCGTTTTTTTATCACCTTTTTTTGCTTTTTAAAAGCTGATTTTTGCTGTCTTTTCTCTTTTGTTTGCGAAGCACACTTTTGCGTTTATCATTTCTCGATCATTTCTCCGTAGCAAGACAAAATTGCCGGTATTGCTTTATAACCGCATTGGCTAATGTCTTAGCACCACATAAAACACCACAACGACGGCGTTCTTAGCCAACAATTTCGAAAAAGCGGCAAAAAGTAGTCTTGGCAGATGAGAACTATTTGTTGCTCTCATTCAGTTAGGATACATACACTCTGCCAGCCAACATGATTATATGGCATTTTCATAGCGTTGAGGACGACCATATCAGTTCTTTCGATCAAAACATTAACTTAATAAAGTAAAGTGCGTTTCCAGCCAAAAGCTATTAAACTTGAGTGTGTCCAAAACCCCGGTCTAACAAGTGTAATAAAAAGCTCATTAAAGAACGTTAAACTAGAAAAAAGTTAAAATTTACTCTACAGTTTACAAACTTGGAGAAAACTTTTGCTTGTTCTAGACATGTTTTTGCAAAATCAATCAATTTTTTTCTGTAACAAACGTACTTTGGGTCCACTGATGGACCCAACCAATGGTATTTTGACGACATACAGTTCTCTTCTGATCCTCTATCACGCAAGATTTAATCCGGAGAGGTTGAGTTGATAGGTCTTTGTCGAGAAACTACGACTTATTTTTCGAGCAGAAATTCGCATGATTTCAACCAAAGAAACTAGGGTCCCGATTCTCAAACTAAATTGTGATGACAAGGCGTTCTATTTGGAGGTCAAAAATCTCTGGTTTTGCGGTAGCTGCTTTCGGTCTTAGACAGTTAACCTTATTGATGATAACCTTATTATGTTATGTCTGTTGAATGCTTTCGTTTTCCTAACTCATCTTCTGTCCTTTTCATGCTCTTGTTTCAAGTTCAGTCCATGAACTACCGGCCTCTTCGACAAATGTGGTGTCATCTCACTTTACCCTGCCTGTCAAATGACAATTTGAACTGATTTCAGGTATGGGGCATCACCTATCACAATTGGATGACCTTTGTGCTTCTAATCTGGGCATCTTGTATCTGGATGTGGCCCAATTCCAGAGAAGCCACTCTTACAACCTCTTCAGTCCTGGTAGTCTACGGCAACTGCCTCTTGATCCTCCAGTACATCTACTCTCTCGATCTCACTGCAGACGAAATGCCTCGTGCTTCTTCTCAGAGGAGTGGGGGGAGTGGTTCAGATGACGAGGGGTTTGATCTTGGACAGGTGGGCCTGGTGGAGTATCAGTATCCGGTCAGACACCTTGCATTGCAGGTTTGCTGATTAATTTCTGAATAATTAATCAGAATAAACTCTCGCTAATGAAGATTTTTTTTTTCAGGGGCAGATCTAGGATTTTCTCAAAGGGGGCGGACCAAATTGATTCTTTGAGCTACCCCAAATCACTCCTAAATATTTTAGTTTGGCAATTATTTTCTGCGCCGCTGGCGAATGTTCGAAAAACAGTGCCAAAAAACGCGTTTGACACTTTTTAGATATTTTGGGTTGGCAGGGGGTCGAATCACTGAATGACAAAAAGGCTTCCACGCCCCCCCCCCCCCCCCCCCCCTAATTCTTCCCCTGCTTTTATTATTAATTAAATGTGCACTAGGTGATCTACTGCTTCTTCTTTTGGGGAACATTCCGACACTTCAAGCGCAAAAGAGAGAAAAAAGTGACCATCTCAAGACTGACTTCGGTGCCGGCTGCCAACCTCTTCTTCAGCGGTCCCCCCACTCTGCCTGGAGGGATAGAGACAGGGGGAGTGACTAATGCAATCCCGTACCACCACCACCATCAGCCATTGTCCTCCATCTTCACAAAGAACCCATTTCCATCTTCGTGTAAGAGATCAAATTTACATTATGTAACCGGGTATTTTTTTCGTAAGTTGTAATATTAATTAATTGATTTAGTTTTTAAAATAACTTTCAGTTCTGATTTCAAGTTTGAGTATCAAAATCAGCTTCAATCATTATTTTGACATTTCAACTCTGAAATCTTTTATTGTCTCAAGTAACCAAAAAAATTGCCCCATTCTACAATCCAGTTCATTTTAGAAGATGCAAACTAACGCTGCGTAATTATTCTTTTGAAAATTTATGTTTTCATTACCCTTGCGATAGCAAGGGTATTGCAATCAAGTAATACACTTTTTTCGCCGCAAACAACTTTGTCCACAGGACTCATTGGAACTCCTGATGGTAAGGATGGGTCATAATGAATTCAATCTTTGTAGGATGTCTTGTAAACTTAGCCTGGTGGTAACGAATTCGCCTGAGAGGGTAAACTTCCAAGGGTCGAATCTGACCGGGAACAATTTTTTTCAAACGTTCCGGTTCAAAAAAATTTCGGCCTATTATTTGTCTGCTTGTTTTGTCGGCTTAGGTGCCACATCTCAGAATCGTTTATTTTAGCTGTAAACAATTTTCTCCGCAGTTGTTTTTGGCATTTTAAAAATCCGACTGAATCGAAAATGGCTTTTCACATTGGTTTTAATTTATCAGTTCAATTTGTTAAAATTTTACTCTTTTTTTCATTACTTTCGTCTTTTTTATCAGCGTAATAAGTTTGTGCCTTGTAAATATTGACTTAGTGGCCTTTTTATGCGTAGTTTTGTCCGGAAAAAATTTTTTTTGCGCGTGTGTGTGCTCTGAGGGGAAAAGAGACTTAACATTTTTCGGCAACAAGGTTTTCTGCTCAGGTTTTTTTTTACTTTGGTACCGCTTGGTAATTATAAATTCTAATCCAATCAACGATCCGGATCATTTGGCGCAGAGGTAAAGCAACTGCTTGAAATGACAAAATTTTGCGGTTAGAATCCGGCCAGGCCGTTTTTTTTTGCAAACTAGAGTTTTTGTGCTTTTTCGGATTATCGTCCGCCTGTTTATTTTTGCCGGCATAGTATCCGTAGCTCAATAGTTCAGCTTCATTCCAAATTGTTGTAACCCCTGTGATTGAGGCGACAAAGCCCTGGAGTTTGATTACAGGTGAGACCTGTTTTTCTTGCAAATAGAAAATTTTGGCTTATTTAGATTATTGTCTGTCTGCTTTGATCCACTGAAAGCACTTTTTGAAAACTTGGCTTCTGTATAGCGTTCTCAAAGCTCTTTCTAGAGTTTCTAATGGTACAGGCAATTTTGTTCCGGATATTTTGGGTTTTGTTACAATTTGTATTGATAAAAACGATTTTTTGAATTTTTCCGTTCGATTTTCATAGTCATTCATATTTGTATTGCAAGTGTTGCGAAGCAGCTCAGCTTCGGCTGTGTTTAAGTTTCGTGTTTTATTTCTTTTAATTAACTCGGAGCATCAATGAAATCATCATTATCCAGGTTCTCAAATTTGAAGGGCTTTCTCAAATCAAAGACTGAGGCTCGATGTTCGATTCTACAGTTGGGACTTGAAACATGTGAACTGAAAACATCAGATTTCTAAGCTTCAGAAATATTGTCTTTAAATAATTTTCGGATGGAATTTTTGTCTTGGAAACTCCTAAATAGTCTTATTCTTTTCTTATGTGTTCTGCTATTACTAATTCATACTAAAAACGGATGTTTTCCTTAAAATTGAATGCTCCTTATTTTCTCGAAGAAAAGCTAGACATACCATTAGCAGATGCGTTTTTGCTCGAATTAAATGATAAAATTCGCCTTTAAGTGAAAACCCCTTTCAGAAAGTGAGCCATCACTTTGAAATTGGTATGATTAAAATGATCGAAATGCATCAAAAACATAGAAAAATCAAAAAAATTAGTTATAGTAGGGGGGGAGAGAAATTAAAAATGTACGTGCCTTCAGGGGCGGAGGGCGGATTTAGGGGAGGGGGGGGGGCGGGACGGACACCCTTTCTCAGGTGTTCGACCCCCTGCCGACCCAAGGGGTCCCCCTTTGTACTTTGTTGAGATATCCATATTTGGTGACGGACCCTAAAAACTTTCCCAAATTGCCTCTGGCGCAAATATATACTAATTTTGAGGGTGGAGTGCGCGCTGAAAAAGAGTGATTTTTTGGTTAATATTTTCCAAAAAGTGCCTAAAAATGCTTTTTTTGGCCTGTTTTTTCCCTGCGGCGCAGAAAATCTGACAAAAACAGGGTCTTTTTAATTCTTTGGGAGAGCTCGGAAAATCATTTTGGCCGACCTAAAAAAAAGGTCGAAAAAATCTTTCAAACTTTTTTTAAAATCCGGCCCCATCCCCCTCGAGAAAATTCTAGATCCGCCCCTGCATGTTTTAAATTTTTAAATTCGAGAAAATTCTGAAAGAATGTAGAAGGAGGCTATTTGAGTTCTACTTTTCAGTTGAGTTGTCTCTTGTGATGTTGTTTCTATAGCCTCTCCTGCTCCTCACAGCCCGACATCAGGTGGTGCATTAGCCATACAAAGTGCCATAGTTCTGAGTGAGTCATACTAATCCGCATCCCTCCGCCATGATCTACTGCTATTCATAACACCTGTTGCTGCACTCTCTATGGCGTGCAAACTACAACATGCAATTTTTTAGAGTATACGCGTCCAGGAGTTAACAATTTTCGAATAAGAGTTCTATTTTAACAGCAAACCATTGAAAAGCGAAAAAAAATAAGTTTTAATTTGCGAAAATATGATTCATACTATCATCAAACTATATAAAAATGGTTAATTGTCTGAAAATGTTGATGGCGTTTTTTTTCTTTCCAGAAACTTGATTTAAAATGAGATTAGAACTATCAACTCAATCCTGGACGTACATGCTCTAAGAATTTATCACTGCTGGCTATATTGTAACTTAGTTGAATTGGCGGTCTAGTTGTAGAGTGGTGCTTGCATTTTTCTCTAAATTGAGATTGATCAAAAACTATTGCAAACTAATCTTTCTGGCCCATAACTACACGAACTGTTTTTTTTCTGTTCCGGTATGCCGCGGGCAAGAACTTAAGATTTGCGTGTTTTTTATGCACATAAATTCATGTATCTCAAAGAAATTTTGCGCGGCCTCAAGTGATCTATCACATTGAATAACTTGCACTAGTAATTCAAGCTGTATTAAAATGGGTTTGCTAACGTCGAGAAAAAACCTTAGGTTATATTGTTCCTAGTTTCGAAAAAAGTAACGAGATATATGTATATGTATAGGATATATCGGTGTGGTGTGTTTTTTATACAGACCGATATGGGCGATCGCAATCTTAAATTTCAACAAAAAATTTTTGTACCCAAATGAGAATCTCAACTCCTTAAGTTCAATCTTACTGGTTAATTGCTTAGTAATCTAGCCTAATCTAGTATATAAAATGAAATGAGCAGCTTAGAGAAATTTAACTTGTTTCTAATTGGGTTAGTTTTGTTTAAAAAGAGTAAATAGTATAAAACATTTCTTGCAATTTGGAATTTTCTCTTCAAATTTCAGTTGAAAACAAAATTAAAAAATCAAGCAAAACTTTTTTTTGTTTTAGTGAGTTCTTTGGCTTACTTACAACTGCCTATTGGAATTATCTAGACATCATCATAGCGAAAAAAAGTATTTGTTTTTGCTATTTAGAAACGCTCGAATAAGGAGACTTACAGAGTTATCGACTTTAATAGTTGCACTGCAGTACTCGCATAAAAGCCAAATGAGACCTGATACATCATAACTTTTTCACAAATAGATTTTTCGGATCATGTTGCTTCTTTTCTTGCTCAAGGTAGCAATTCTTTTTTTTTTTTGAATATAATTAGAGTTAGTTTTTTCTCCGCTGTTCTGGATTGTTAACCAAACAACCAATGTTTTTGTGCATCCAGGTTGTTTGTGAAATGCTTGTGAAACCAGTTTTTTTCTTTAGAATCTCGTACCAAATCGGAAAATGTTCTTTTTAGAGAAAGGCAAGATAACCATGATAAAATTGCTGATATCAAGGTTTTCCGCACATTCATTTGCATGGGCAATTTTGAGCCGTGGGTTAGAAGTTGAAATTGAAATAACTAATTGTAGTTTGAACAGGGAAAGTGTTTTGTAACTTCTGGGTTTACCTTCCATAACTCATTTTTCCCAGATAAGTTTTTCCCCTAATCGGTTTGACTTTTTGGACAATTTCGTTCTTCATAGAGTGTATCTACTTGTTCCAATTTTTTCATAGATCTGATTTCTAAAATCCATGAACGGAAGTTACTGAATTTATCGACATTATTAGTTAAGCTGTGCTACTTGCATGATTGCCAAGTGCCTTCGTCAAATATTATTTTTGAAATTTTGACTTTTTCTTGTCTTTTAAATCGGTTTTTTCGTTGGAATTTTGTTTGCCTCATGACATAGTTCTTCCACCTCCGACTTATAATTCTACTGTATCAAATTTGTTGTGAAAAAAATAAAACATCTAATTTTGTAAAATAAAAAACATCGGCGTGCGGGGCATTTGCTTAATTTTTGCCGTCTTACCAATTTTTTCGCTGGTTAGAAAATTGCTTTTTTAATGTTTTTGAAACGCTTTTGTTTCAGAATATCTCAACAAAATTTAAGGAGATTTTATAATTTTATATATTCCTTGGGTTAAATGATAACGTCTTGAATTTTTTGATAGTATTTTTTTGTTATTTTTTGTTGGGTTATTTTTCTACATCAAAAAACTCCAAAAAAATAAAATTTTGATATTTGATTGCAAGAAAAACAAGACTGCTCGTATCAGGGCGAAGCCCTGAATGTTCCGGCTGCCTTTTAATGTTTAATAAAATGTAATAAAAGTGAAAAAAAAAGTTTTCTAAAATTTGAAAATTTTTATGAAAATCATCCCCCCACACGCCAAATAAAGTACAAAAGGATAGATTTCGCTCCTTGTAACAAATCAATTATGGCAAATAAGCTTCTTCCAACTAATTTGGAAGGATTTCTAAGACGGACTAAATCTCCGCTTACGCGTTAATAGCGCGAATTATATCGCGCGTTAATTGTCCCAAATTGGTCAAAATGGCCAAAATGGCAATCTTTAAACCCTCATAACTTCACGAAAAATGATCACAGGTGAAATATCTTTTTAAATATAAGCTCAGGACAACAATAGCTTTCGAATGATAAAAAAAATTCCGTCAAAAATGGCTAGTTAAAAAGTCAAAATTTGTCTGAAGAAAAAAAAAACCCACCCCGAGCACAAATATTCCGTTACTTTCGTATCGAAAGTCGGAACAATAATTTTGCTTTGTAAATATGGTTTTTTGTTATTTTTTTTCAACTGCTGTTTTTGCAGTACTTCTTGGCAACATAGTTTAGATTAAGGATAATGCTGTGACTCTTGTATTTGGATGATACTTGTTTGGAATCTCTCTGGTCTAAGTAGTTTTTGGGCTTGTTAATGACTTCATCATATTTTTGCAAATGTTGCATAATTTTTTCATCAAAAAATGTTTTGTTTCTGCTGTGATTGAGTTTCTCAGAGTTCTGACGCTCTGAGTAGGAGCGTATTTCAAAGAAAGTTACCTTTTACCTAGCCTCATTAAATTTTTATACTGTTTTCTTTTTGAATCTGTACAGTATTATAATGATTTTTAAATTCATACAGCATTTCTTTTCAGTATCGCATTCAAAAACATACCCTGAGTTGCCTGAATACAGCGTTTCTTCATTTTGAGAATCCGAGTAGTTCACGCTTTTGAAAAAATATAAATAATTAGTTGCGTGCTAATTAATTTAGATGCTACTTTTTCTCATCAATTTGCTTTTACTTTCGCAGCTTCGCTCATATTTCTCGAATCGGAATTTTTTTTTTAAAAGCAAACTATTTGTAGTAAAAATGCTCCAGTCATGGTTTTCTGCACCTTCATTGGCATGTTCAGTTTTGAGCCGTATAATTAGAAATTTTTGGCGTGAAAATCATTCTCTGGAAAGATCGGAACTTAAAAATAATCAATTATAAATTGCAGAGAAAAAGTGTTCCGTAACTTCTGCGGTTTCCTTCCATTGCTCTTTCATCACAGATTAGTTTTTCTCAAATCTGTTTGACCTGTCCCTTACTTCCGTTTTCTATCCATTCCAATATTTTTCATAGATATCATTTCTGAAATATTTCACAAGACTTCACGATCATTCTCGATTATTATGTTTAACTCTTCATCGTTTTGTTGCATTTTTGCTCTGACAGGTTTTTATCTCAAACCATTCCTGTTAACTCACAGATTTTTTACGACAACTCTTTCCGAATGTTAAATCAGCAGCTCGGTCGGTCCAAACCATAAATCCCCTTCCCACATCTTGCGCTTAATCATTGACCGTTTTTTCATTTCTTCGTTCTAGCTACAGGTCTGGTTCTAGGATTCCTGGAGGTTTTTTACAACAAACTTACACACATTTTGTCGACCTTTTTTTCAGTCGATCAAGTTCATTTTACGAGCTCTACAAAGCACCATAACGACCTTATTTTGACAACATTTTCTGTACTTCAACAGGTAAGTTTTTGAAAAAAAAAATCAGTCAAAACTGATGTGAGCTATTCTTTTCTACTCATCCTTCACTAAACCTCATCCTACTCTAAGCTCTATAAATAACTTAGGTGCATTTTGTTTGTTCAGAGTTGATTTTGAGATATTAAGCATTACTTGTGAATACTTTTCGGATCATTCTACCTTTTTTTACTACCACCAGTCAATTTAAACTTCTCAATCTCTCCGGATCTTGTTCTATTGATTTTTTTATAGAACATATATCAGTTTTTGGTAGTTTTTTTTCTATTTGTTTTTATTTTGATTTCTGGTTTGTACATAAATCTTTTTCTTTTTTTTTCGAGCTACTCATTCAAACTTATCGAGAACTGAAACAAGCACATCAATCTTTTTACGGCCATTTTGTTTTTTCTTTGTTTTTTGAGGAGAATTTTTTCATTTTTCAGAAAATTGTTTACCAGATTGTGCATTACTCTGACTTCGCTTATCCAACATTTTATTGGAATGAATTTTTAAAGGTAAAAGTTGCGCTTGAAATGGTTGTGCATAAATGCGAAGCTGTGCTTCGCAAACACTTGCGATAACACGACCAAAAAGCAGCTCTATCAAGTTAAATAAGAAAAAGTAGAAATCAGCCTCGAATTAGCAAAAACTCGGCTGCGTGAAGAACTCGAATCTACGACCTATTGCAAATCGAAGTTTTTGAGTCTCACTCACTATCCCCTCAGCCACTCAAGCTTAACAACCGACAAACACTAGACACTAATAAATCAACTACATATGCTAACAATTTACCAATGCGATTCAGCATCAAATACAAATCGACTCAATTTTGCTATTAAAAACTTGGAAAATAACAAATTTTTATATTCAATTATTGTTTGCAATTAAAGGCATCTACACTAACTTTGCATGTAACAAATTGCAAGGCATAAAGCCACATTATGTATAAATTGTGCATTTCAAAAAATTACGAATTATATTGAAATAGAAAATGTCTGAAATCATGTGTTTTTGTTGTGATGATGTTTGAAATAAATAGCTTTTTTTTTGGTTTATTTGAAGAACTAAAAATGCAATAACTGTATTAATTTAAAATTAATCGAATGTCAAAGCACATGCTATTAAAGCTGTAAAGGTGCCCCACCATTATTGGGGAGCTGAACCATAAAAGTGCCGCACCACTATGTGCGACTTAGGTTGGAAAAAAAGAAGGTTCGTAATAATACACTAGCTTCGCAAGTGTAAAAACAGAAGAAAATGCTGGTTCTTCTGCTCTTCTATATTTCGGTTTTGCAATCATGGTCATTGAAACAAGCAGAAAATTCTGAATTTTAGGATATTTTTGTTCGCCGAAAATATTTCCGCTCAATCATTGGTTGCTTTTAAATGGAATACTATAGGGCAGAAAGTTGTGCATGGAGTTTGTAGAAATAGTGGAAAAGATTGAAGTTTTCTCTTAAACTCTGATTTGTATTGAGCGTTTTTTTTTGGCAGATGTTTTTTCATGGGTTCAGTAGAAAAGGCAAAAATCTTAAATTTTTTCACAACTCCGGGTCATTTTTGAGCTGAGAATTTTTGAACCGAATTTGGCAAAAAAAAACAGATAAGTTGGAAATATTGCATGAATTTTTGATTAGTTGTAGCGGAATTGTTATAAGCCAGTAAACTATCTATGAGTTGGGCAAAATAAATTTATGGAAATTTCCGCCCATTAAATGGTTAATTTTTAGCTGAACTTTTATGGGCCCAAAACAATGGAACCAAGATAAGCAGAAAAAATGGGTTTCTTGGAATTTTCTTCTCACTCCATGGTTAGTTTTGAAAGCTACTGTTGATGGCCGGGAAGTTATTTATAAGATGGGCCAGAAAAGCGGATGAGCCAGATGCATTTCAATAGGGGGAAATAGTTAATAAGGTACAAAGTTCTTATATGCTTAACTGTTCAATTCTTTCTTTATACGGGGGGGGGGGGGGGGGGGGGGGGTTGGGGATTCGTTACACGGTAGCACCATAGGGGGGTCTAATAGTTAACAAGATCCAATCAAAATGCTGATCTCGCGTGATATCCCTCAAAATCAGGCGCGGATCTAGGAATTTCTCGAGGTGGGGCTGATTTTCAAAAACTTTTTGAAAACTTTGTCGACCTTTTTTTATGTCGACCAAATTGATTTTCTGAGCCCTCCCAAATCACTAAAAAAGACCCTAATTTGACAAAATTTTCTGCGCCGCAGGCGAATTTGTAAAAAAAAACAGGCCAAAAAAGGCGTTTCTATGCACTTTTTGGAAAATTTAGACCAAAAAAATGCGTTTTTTCGGCGCGCGCTCCCTTCTCAAAATTAGTATAGATTGGCGCCAAAGGAACCTTAAGAAAAATTTTAAGGTCAGTCAGCCAAAAACGGATATGTCAAAATAGTACCCCCCCCCCCCCCCCCCTCCAAATCCGCTACTGCTCAAAATTAGTGTATATTGGCGCCGTTAGAAAAAATGTAGCTCCTTGAATTTAGCGTTGCAAGCGGATGAGATGGTCAAATTTGGACACAGCTCCCTGATTTTGGATCTATATTATTTCTAGCTTCAAACTGACAACATCATTAGACCACATTTTGACTGGAGTGCCGCACCTCACATTTAACTGTTCTGCTAACTGAAAAAAGTAGTACTTATTAAAATTGGTGCAACAGCTGCACGTATTTAGTTCTCTGTTTTAAAACTCGAAAAACCTTGCTTATTTTAGCGATAAAAACTATTCAAATATAGACTCATAAGTTCCGCCTCCTTTTAAAACACGCACCAGGATTCATTTTACAAAAAGTTGGAGAGGGTGTCATTACTATCATCAATGTATTATATGCTTTAGTAATTTTAAGGGCACGGTTCGTCACAAGCGGCCATATAAGGGAAAGTTATGACATTTTATTCTTGATTTTTTTTATGTGCCTAATTGAAAAAATACACTTTTTATATCAAACACTGTTTTTGAAGTTGAGGCCGGGAATCTATTGTTAACTAAGGAGCTTTGATTGACAACCTCTGGTTCTTCTTCGTTATTTTTGTAATTACCATCCCCCAAGTCGGAAATGGGGGAAAGTCGTTACAAAATACAAAATTCGTTTATGCTTAACCGTTGAATTAGGTTTTTATAGGGGTTGATATTCATAATAAGTACTACAGGGGTGGAAATAGTAAAAGTTTTTCGAATTTCGCTTTTAAAGTGAATGTTTTTTGGTCATTGCGATCGTTTCAGACGCGTACCATCCGCAGATGGCGGACAACCACAACGAAGTGATAGCGAGACTGTACACCAAAGTTCACAGAGTGTTCACGAAGTACTGGGTGGTGATGTGTGTGGCCATGTTCCTCATCGTTTCTCTGGAGGACGACAACGTAGTCGCCTACAAGATTATATACATGATACTCTTCCTCGCATTCGTCGCACTATACGGGGTAGGATACTAAACAGATAGATAGATCCCAAAATTAAATTCAAAGCCTTAGATCCGAAGTAAAAGTTGCCAGATAAAATTCAAAGTTAGTTTAGGTCTGAAGTTATATTCAAAGTTAGTTTAGACGATATCTTCACAAGGGAAAGGACCAGCATACAAGCTGTTCAGTTTATCGCGGAGAACCGCTGTTGTTTCCCTGCTTAAAAGAACTACATGCATTATTTTGGTGATTTTTCTGGGCTGTGTAATTTGCCTCACCCTCAAGCAACAAGCACGGATCATGGTGGGTCTCAACCACTTCGTAACCACTCCCTACCACTTCACTGCCACTCCCGATGTCTGCGCTCATTTAGTTTTAACAGGATTTCAAACATCCGATTGATATGAATCGGCTTAAATTTTGTTCCATCTTTTCGATGAATAAACAAAGTCCCGGCAGGGCTCTATGTAGATAGCACACGGCAATCCGAGCACAGATTTTATTGCAATAAATAATCGAAAACAGAATTTTTTTAAAATGACATTTTTCAAAAAATGCTAATTTGAAGACTCGTTTTCTTTAATTTGGAAACAACATGTTCAATTTTTTTTGGATCTGAGTAACGATTAAAACGGGTTTATAAAGATCACACACTTGACCAGCGAGCTTTTTTGGGGTAGTCAAAATTGTGTGGGAAAAACATCTCTACGGGAGTGGTCCGAACAAAAATTTTGAAATAACAAAATACATCCATAATTATGTAAATTACTAGTCCTTTTGCAAACTAAATTAGATGTAACTGATAAGAATTGCATTGAAGGCGGACCTCATTCTACTACAAAATATAGAAAATTATCACTACTCTTTTGTGTTTTTTTTTCAATCTCCCTATCTAAAAAAAAATAAGGAAATTTTTGGACCGAAAGAAAAAATTGTTTGAAGTTTTTGTTCGATTTTCAAAATTTTTAAAGTTGTTTTATTTTTTTTTCTGTAGACGTTAGGGTCATTAAATTATGTTTTACTTGCTAACGAACTGCTTATAATTGTTTTTGTTTGAATTTAATTTATCAAAAAAACTCTCACCAATGTTTTGATACAAGGGTTTAAAGTTTTAGTCAACCATCTGTCACATACTGATGCAATAAATAGTTCATTTTTGCTGACTTTGGCTTGAAACTTTTCAAACATGCTTTTTTTCAATTTTTTAAATTAAATTGATTGGTTTTTAGGGGAGTTTTGGCTGAAAAGGTTTACATGTAGCGGAGATTTGTTATCTGAGTTGTGTTTGCATTTAGCTGAATTCTGATTTTCAGTAATTAAGTAAAAGACACCTCCTAAGCCATGTTTTTTATCTCGCTCGCTATTTGCTAGTAATTTGATAGGTATACGGAGCGTTGAAAAATACCGAACTACAAGTGTCCAAAAAATCGAGAGATTTTCGGAATAAAAAATCCATACTCTTTTGAACTAGTTTTTTCAGCAGCAGTTTCTTCTGGAAAAAAGCGTAGATTTTGAGGCATTGGCCACGTATCTAGACTTTTTTTTAAAACTTAGGCAATTAGGATACATTTATTGCCAATGACACTTTCAACATTGCGCCAGAGCTGTTTACTCAAGTTTGAAAATTGATTTTCGATTTTTTGAAAACCAAAATTTTGTTGGTTTTTGCTTTCTTCTCCAGCAAAAATTAAATTTCCTACATAAAAATTGGCATTAAATCTGGAACACAACAAGTGGTCATTTTCATAACAATTTTTGGGTTTTCGTAAAAAACAGAAGCAAGAACAAAAATTTTGAAACTTTCCTCGAAATTTTTTAATATGGGATATAATCCACTAAAAGCTAAGGAAAAAGACAAAAAAGGAGACAATAGCTGTATTTAATAGAGGCATATGAAGCTTTCCAAGTTCAGTTTAAATGTGACTTCTGCTCTTCGCAGAGAGTCTATGAAAAGCTATCCAGCCCGTCAGTTTCGCTTATTTCCTCATATTCTAGACTGACTTGATTTGATGAGCGAAGCTCTTTTTTGCTACTCAAGGCCGTTTTTTTCGTCTAGAATTTTCACGTGCTAGTACTTTGCAGCCACACTGGGTCAGGCTGTGATAGACTTGATGCTAGAGGTCAAGTGAGACCTCGTCCTCGCACAATATCATTACCATGGCAGAGATCGATTACACGATCTGGCGATATTAAGTGTCTTCAGTATTTTTTTTCTTTGTTGGGCATGTTGAAAGAAAAAATTCGGTAATGTGAACTATTTTTTTGTGCACTGTTGTACTTCGGCAGTGTTGTACAGTCAGGTGAATATGCCCTGTTCAATCAATGCGTGTCACCACCGGGGCAAATAAAATAATGTTCCGTTTAACCAGTTGTGTATTTTAATCAAGTAATTGATTCATATGTAAACATTTTGCGAGAAAACACATGTCTAGCAGATCATACTATAAATCAAAAGTTGCTGAAATCAGACCGAAAATTGCAAAAATTGTAGCAATGCAGAGCCCATGCATCGAGGGAATTTTCATACTACGGAATTGCTTATGACAATTACATTTTGATTTCCGGGATTGCCCATCAAAAAAATATGTTAGTGATCAGAAATGACGTTTGCTGCTTTCATTTTGTTGTATTCCCGGCTTGCCTGCCATAGAACATTATTGGCAACCATACAAAATCGTTGATGGACATATGTAAACTCTACCAAAAAACCTAATGTTTACATGTAAAACAATTGCCTCTTCTCGCAGTTTTCTGAGCCCACTTGGGGAGTTTTTGTATTCAATGCATCAGCATATCAAACAATCTGAAAACTAGAAAACTTTTTCAGTGTAGATATTCCAGTGAAGCAAACTGCTGCGTCAACGCCGGAAAGTTCTTAAGTTTCAGTTTAAACTTTCTAAATCAAATTATTTAATTTTGGGATTCTGAATAGATAATTAATTTAAAAACTGAAGCTGATTTTTTAGGCTTTAAAGTAACATCTTCGCCCCAAATGCTTTGAAGGGGAAGATCTTAATTGGGTTCTGATTTGCAATTTTGAGCCAATCAGAATTAAGTGTTTTAGCTCAGAGCTAAACAATCTTAAAACAAAATATATAGTGTGGGGTCGGGTCGAGAATAATCACTTGATTATGAATGAAATTATTTAGTCAAACGGTCTATAAAAATTTTAAGAGCCGTCTCACTAAATTATATACAGTTCGATCAGCGTCTTAATTCACTTTTCTTAATAGTTGGGCCGAATAAGTGAAAAGAACCCCTTGAGTTTTTAGATTTCGTTCTCCGTGTGGCGTCGTGCAATGGCCGGATTCTGGTGGGTGACTGTGATCTACTCCATCCTGGTGCTCTTAACAGTCTACACATACCAGTTCAAATCCTTCCCTCGCTACTGGAAGAAAATCACCCACCTGGACGACGCCGAATTAAAGGCACTCGGTTTGGAACAGCACAACACTTCGGGTCTGTTCACGAAGCTACTGACCCCGACTCTGTTCGTGTTAGTGTGCAATATACAACTGCACTACTTTCATGAACCTCTACTGAGGATGACGAGAATTTCATACGACGACGAGTAAGTATATTCAGCTCTAATTTAAGATATTGGCTCTACTACATGCAATTTTTGTGGTAAATTTTTTTAAATTTCTTTTTTTTTAAATGTAATATAGTCTTTTAAATGTTTCAGAATAGCTGTTTTTTTATTTGACTCACTCGAGCAAAGTGTATAACCGGCTCTGACAAGAGATAAACGATAGATCACAAGTTAAAGCTCAAAATGTTAATTTCAATGCACCATCAATTATGTGACAGTGATCTAGACAGTTTTTAAATTAGAAACCTTAAGATTCTGCAATAGAAGATAAATAAATAAGTAGCAATCGGCTAAAAGTTTCATTTGTTAGATTTCTACAAAAGGAACTAATGTAAATATAATTTAGATTATAACAGAGTTTCATGAAAAAATTAGAAAAACATTTATTTCAGTCATGGATTCAAAAATCGGATTCGAAAAGGTCAATCCATATCGGCCAATCATCAAAATCATATTACACAATCAAACCACATTAATGACCAAGTTCGTCCTAAACGTGAGTAAATTTTTTCAACAACTTTGGTAAGATGTTGTTGTACCGATTGCTGTAGATTAAATGTAATTTGATTTCTAGGCGTTTTTAACCGACTCTTATTGTCATTCACTTAAGTCGCCAAGCAAGCACCAACAACAAGAAAAAAAAGTCCCGTGTTTTGAAAAATACAACTGATAATAAAATCTAATCTTACCTCTTTAATTTCTTGAAAATCTGCTTTTTCTTATTCATTTCAATCAATGAATGATTGCGAGCCTTTTGTGCTATTTTTCTGGTTATTATAAGGACCATTGATTAACAGTGGAAGTGATACACATGCTCGACAGTTCTTAGGCTGTTTTTCTTCTACTCCATTTACTTTTTGCTCTTCTTACTATTATATTTATTGTAATCTAGACAAAGATAGTTCTACCACCACCAGTCAAGTAGGTGGGGGAACAGGGGAAAGTAGAGGGGGAGGAGGGGGGAGGAAGCAGAGTCGAAGTGCCGAGTGGCTGCTTGAGAGTGTGTGGCTGGGCAGGGTGCAGACTACCTGGACCCAGATTGGAAACTTCTGGTGGAGACTGCTGGAGCTGCACATGATTAAACTGTTGTGTTGTATGGGCATGCTCGTGTCTGTCAGAGATGTGAGTTGATTGTTGTCGTGTACACTTCATTTAAAAGATGGAAAAAACAATTCCAATACATTTCATGATTTTTTCGAGCATGAACGAGAGCAGTGATATAATAAATGCTGCTAGCTTCCATATTTTTATATAAACCCTGATGCGTGGGAGATCTTTATGATCTGTTAGTTCAAATCGGTTTGCTTAATCTTCTGTACAACTACGCAGAATTTACTAAATTTGATCTCACTTGTTGAATTTGTTAGTGAAACTGTCAGGTGACCTCTTGACCTTTTTCAGCTACTTTGGATCCTACTTAGTAACCCCTAAGTTAGGCAATTTTCAGTGACCCCCCAAGTTATTTGGAACCCCTAAGTTAGGCAATTTTCAATTACTGGTGAGTTAGAACCGAGGTGGTTAACTCATAGAGTAATTTCGGATAGGGTACACCGTCTGCTCGTCACGCTATCTTATTTTCGGCCGGATAGATTCGTGCAACTTCTTAGTCTAATACCGATCCTAATCTTACTCTTATACTATCTAGTCTCAGGTTGTTTAACTAGTCTCTGCTAGGCTCAATAGATCTAGGGTATACTGGTTTATTGCGGTTGCTGAAGTGCTCGGGAGAGTCCAACTAATTTCTAAGTTAAATTCAAATCTCTCTGGTGCTGAAATTACAAGTAACTTCAGCACTTACAAATAAGTGGGTTGTTAGTTAGATGGATCATGATTGGTTAATATTAAATACTTTACATTGGTAAAACATTTAATTTATCCAATCATAAAATATAGTTTAGATCAGGTTCCACCCATCCGGGTTTTACAGAGTTTTTTAGAACAGTTCTTCTGTAATTCAAGGATGGATGATGGACGTTGGTATTTGGTGAACATCATAATTTTCTTCCGCTTCTTCTTTGTTAAAGAAGTTTCAGGAAGCTGGAGTTAGGGACATAAGACGTTGTGTTCTTCTTGTGACAACGACTGAGTCTCTGCAACAAAATCAATTCTGATTTCAGAATGGTTGGCTATGTCAGGTTTTTCTGTTCTTCGGGGAGAACTTCTTTTGTGTCTGATCTAGCTTGGGAATGGCGTGGAGATTGTGCGTGGAGGGGATGCCTGGTTACTCGGATCTGTACGTACACTTGGGTCATCGAGGTGGTCATTGGTCTAGTTCAATGAAGTCCTTTTCTGCGAAGTCAAGTCGTACTCTAAATCCTTTGAGTTGTGATTGTGAGTGGCATATCGATTGTGGTTGGTCATTCTCTCTCGAGTGTAGCGGGGTCGTTTTGTCTTTGGATGTTCGTCCTTGGTGTTGTATTCTGATCTATGTATTGCATAATGTAATTTACATTTTATAAAACATTTATTAGTTTAATATTTTTTAGTTATGATTTTAGTTAGTTGTTTTCACAAAAGCTTTTTGTTTTAGTTCGGTTATTTTGAAGAGTTACTCACACTTGAGTAGCTCTTATTAAAAATAGTGGTGTGGTCACAAAGCGTGGATATAGCGCGGTGGGTTAGGCCGGCTATAGAGCATGCTCAGGACGTCCTTCCTGGTGGGTTAGGCCAGGAGTGGGAGTATGATTTCATGCGGTTTTTGTGAGGGGTCCTGTTATGTGACAACGTTTTATGTTGGGTTTGTTGTGGTTTTTCTTATGTCTTGTTGGTTATGTCCTTTTTCCAAAAATCAAATTGTTCGTGGTATGGGTTTGTCTTTCGACTTTTTTGTGTTTTATTATTTCTTTCTTAGACTTTATAATAGTCTTCAAAAGAATAAATTATCCAGTTTTAAACTGGGTTAATCCGGTTTGGGTACCGTTGGTTTCCTTTTCTTAGTCATGCTGTTATTCTATGATTTGTGGTATTTAGTAAGCTGCGTTGGTTAGTTTTGTTTAGTATATGATTCCTTTCCAACCGGGTTAAAGGAAAGTTTGAAACATGTTATTATATGTTAGAGTTGTTGAGTGTGAAAACTTGAAACTGAAATTCATTATTTTAAACAATTCTTCGTGGGCGAGCTTGTGCGAGTGTGGATAGAATTTCTGTGCGAATGAATGAAAATATCAAAAGGTTAGTACTGCAATTGCATTTTATTAATTTACTGCATAGAATTTGGAAATTTACTGCTAGTTATGGGGGAATTTTAAGTTACAAATTTTCATCATAATTAAATTTACTGCTTGTGGGGAAAATTTTAGAAATGAATTTACTGCATTGGTATTAAATTTATAAATTTATAAGTGTAAGAGATTAATAGAATTTTTGAAATCTGTTTGATGAAATTTGCGATTTTTATTTGTCTTTTGTGGTTTTTGTAGGTGATTGTCGGATGAAGGCTAAAAATCTAAAGAAAACATGGATAAAGAATGGTGAGTTTTTAATATTTTAATTAGTTAGTAATATTCATTTAATTCATACTTACCTGTTAGTCGTCGGGGAAAAAACCGTGGGGGAAGATGTCGTGAATTAGTTCTGAAGTTGTTAGTAGTTTAGCTAAGATGCGGATGACATTTTTAGTTTGAAGCAGTGGCCAAAGCAATTGAAGTGCCTTAATAGTGGTTAGTTCTTCAGTGCCAACTGCAAACTCATAAGGTGTGTTTTGGATTAGATTATATAATTTGTGATTGAATTTAGTGTTGTGGATGAATTCTAAAATTGGGATTTCTATGGGTTGTACAAACTCGTGCGGGAGAAGGAAGGGTCGGGATTCTTCGGCGTTGAAGGTCTTGGTGATTGGACAGAAGATGTACATTTGGGTTATGGGGTCATAATTACGAAGAATACCATGGAGGTTAGTGTCTTTAATACAATATGTGAAATTTAGGAAAAATGGTGAAGTGTATTTGGAATTAATGAATTGAAAACGATGGTGTGGTTGTCTAGAGGGTGTGTGTAGGTCAAAGTGATTTTGGATGAAGCGATAATAACTATATGTGTGGGTTTGTTTAGTGCGCAACATAATATCGTGTGAGCAGTGTAAATCTCTTTCGTGTGGTGCAAGGAAATGAAAGGTTAGTGAAAATATTTGGAAGCGTTCTTTAAAACTTTCGTATGCTTGTGTGTCTGTTAGTGCTTCTGAAATAATGTGATCAAACTTTCGGTCGAAAATGTTTAGTGTAAATATATATGGTGTCTTGATGAAAAATTTCTCAGTAATTTGTGGATTAGCGAAGCGATCGTCGTCTAAGAATTGATCTTGGTTAGCTCTGATGATGTTGTGATCATAGTATTCGAGTGTATATTCGTTAGCTCTAGGTGCAGTGTGTGTTTTTAGTGATTTTTTATATCCAACGTAAGTAAATTGTCTAGCGGTTAGTGGTGTAGTGAGTCGATATAGCATGTCCGTATTTCGCTCTATATCGATGTGAGTGTTAGATAAAGGTAAGCAAAGAGGGTTAGTAAAATGATAATATGAGGTCCAAGAGAGAGTGGGCATTAAAACGTATTCATCTACAAAGTTGCGTGTTTCGTTAGTGTCGTGGGGGGTGTTTAAGGTGTATTGTGGGAATGAGGGTAAGGTGATGGCTAAAAATTCCTTTGTGTTAGTATGCTTGGGATGGTTGATGTATTCACGGGCTGTTCCTGGTTTTGCTGGGAAAGGATGGTTGGGGAACTTTCTTTTAAAAGTGCGGTAAGCTCTATTAGTGTTGAGTGAAGATTCAGTTGATGTGGATGATGGTGCTAATGATTCAGTATAATTTGAAGAGAGTGTAGGGGTAGGGGGGTTGGATGAATTTATTGTGGAGGAGATTTGGTTTATGGTTGGGGTATTAAGGTGGTAGGGTTGTTGTTGAAGGGTAATAAAATTATCTAGCTCTGGGGAGATTCGGGGGGTGTCTGGAGAATGAGATGATTGGTCAGAATGGTATGAGGAGTAGGTTGGGGTAACTTGGGAAGCATAAGAGGGTGTGGGGGTGATTGGGTCAGGGTTATTGGATAATATGGGTTGAAAAGGGGGTTGAGAAAAATTAGAAGAGTTATGAAAATTATTGGATGGAGATGGTTCTGAGTCGGCAAATTCATCGGGGGTTTCAATATTCGGGTTATTGAGTTGTGAGATGGAATATAAAACTGAGATGTGTGAATTAGTGTCGGAATTCATGCCTGATGTTACATTACTAGATGGAAAATCGGGTGGCGGAAAAGCAAAAAGTGGTATTATTGGGATTGGAGAGGTAAGATTGGTTGGGTGGGAATTTGATCGGTGTAGTGATCCAAGTTGGCGGCTCATCGTGGGCTAAAAAAATGATTATTTTGAGACTGAAAAGCGGTGGTATGGGGTTGTTCAATAATTTGTTCATAAGTATTATCATCTTGTGACTGGTGTGTCATTATATGTTGAATGGGACTTTGTGATGTGGTGAGTCGAAAATTTGGATTATGTGTGATGGCTAAGTTTCGAAAATTTCGTGGGACTAGGGATAGTGGATGGTTATTTGGTAGGGGTGGTAATTGTGGTGCCGTTGGCGTTATGTCTACATTGTTATGTTCTTCGTCGTATGTATTTTGTCGTGTTGTTATTTTTGTGTTATATTCCTTTATTTGTGCGTCTAAAAGAATTTTGTTTATAGATGTAGAAAAGATTCCAAAAAATCCTGCAAAGAGTATGCGTGCTACACTTGCTTGTCGATTGACCTGTGTGTGTATAGCACATGTGTTGTAGATTCCTTTTAAAAGTGAGAAAAGAAATCCAATAAAGTTAAACATTGCGTATAAAATAGTCAATTTTTCTAAGATGTAGTAGGGCCATCCTAGAAAATCGAGGATCTCATTTTTGAGTGTAACAAAGCTAAAAATGTTAATTGGTGATATATCTTGGGGACGGTATTTTTCACCGTTTAGATATATATATAATCTTTAATGTCTTTAAAATATCCGCTATAGTCTTGCGTGTAGATATCGGCAAATCCTGCGGTTTCTGCAAGTTTGCGTAAATTTTGGTCTATTGATTGTCTTTGTATAGTGTCCATTTGTGTTAATAATTCTTGGAATTGTTGTGTTCTAATGTGATGTTGAATATC